ACGGGGACATCCGGATTTGTGCTGACTACAAATGCACTCTAAACAAGGCCCTACAGCAACATGCTTATCCTGTGCCTGTAGTGAGCCACATTTTAGCTTCCCTGAAGGAAGGAAATTTTTTTGCTAAGCTTGATTTGGCTCAGGCTTATCAACAGCTGCCTGTTGATGAGGCTGCAGCTGAGGCCCAAACTATTGTCACACATCGTGGAGCTTTCAGGGTGAAGAGGTTACAGTTTGGGGTGAATGTCGCTCCTGGCATTTTTCAAAGTGTGATGGAAAACACCCTGAGGGGTATTCATGGTGTATGTCCTTATTTTGATGTTCTCATTGCAGGTGACTCTCCACAAGTGCTGGCTGAGCGGTTAAAGGCCGTTTTGCTTCGTTTCCGGAAGGCAGGTCTTAAACTTAAACAGGACAAATGTAAGATTGGTGTCCAATCCACTGAATTCTTAGGGTTCAAGATTGATGCACAGGGTATTCACCCATCTGATGCTAAGCTCAAAGCCATTCAGAAGGCTCCAAGCCCCAAGTCTAAGGGCGAACTGCAAGCCTTTTTGGGTTTGTTGAATTTCTATCATGCCTTTCTACCTCACAAAGCTGCTATTGCTGAACCATTGCACAGACTCCTCGACAAGAATGCCTGTTGGCGCTGGACCAAGGTCCATGAGGCCAGTTTCAATGAGGTCAAAGCTTTGCTTACATCCAATGCTGTGTTGGCTCATTTTAATGAGCAGTTGCCAGTGTGCCTGGCGTGTGATGCCTCACCCTATGGTGTGGGCGCTGTTCTTAGCCATTTGACGGCTGATGGGACTCAGGTCCCTGTGGCTTACTACTCTAGGACTTTATCTGCTGCTGAGCACAACTGTGCTCAAATTGATAGGGAAGCTTTAGCTCTGGTGGCTGGTATTAAAAAGTTCCATGATTTCATCTATGGCCGCCATTTTACGGTCTTTACGGACCACAAGCCTTTACTGGGGCTATTTACCACCTCCAAAAAAACTCCTCATATCCTATCCCCTCGTATGCTCCGTTGGTCCATCTTCCTCTCAGCTTATGACTATTCACTGGTCCATAAGCCTGGCAAGGAAATGGGTCATGCAGATGCTTTGAGTAGGCTGCCATTACCTAATGTGGAGCCTGATCCCGCTCCTGCTGTACACATATTGTCAATTCAGGAGTTACCTGAATTGACAATGCTCACATCCCTCAATGCTAGGGATGTGGCTGCTGAAACTGCCACTGACCACACACTCAAACGCGTGCTGTCATGGGTTCTATCTGGGTGGCCTGACAGGTGCCCTGCAGAGGAATTTCAACATTTTTGGGTCAAGAGGCACGAGTTGTACACTTTCAATGGTTGTCTCCTATGGGGATCGAGAGTTGTGATCCCGGCCTCATTGAGGGCTAGAATCTTGGTCTCATTACATGAGGGTCACCCGGGAATTGTGAGGATGAAGGCGCTTGCTCGCAGCCATCTGTGGTGGCCTGGCATTGACCGGGCCATCGAGTCCCAAGTACATGGATGTCATACCTGCCAACAGTCCAGGCCTGAAATGCCCCAGGCCCCTGTACACAGGTGGGAGGAAACACACACTCCATGGTCTAGAATACATGTAGATTACGCTGGGCCCTTTCAGGGTCAATTCT